TTTTTTTTTTTTTTTTTTGCACTCCGTTGGCCTAACCAACGGTCACGTCGGGGTCATAGTACCCCCACGAACTGTTGAAATACATATCCAAGTTTGATCCCTAATGGGATAAAAAAAAAATTTGGACTATTTCTCGATTTATGCGTGTCATCCTTGCGCAGGGGCCACGCTAATCTCAGCGCGGCAGATCTCAGCCGCGAGATTTTGATGATCGCACGGCCGAGATCGGCCGCGCCCGTTTGCCTTGGGCTGCTCCAAAAGGAGCTTTACCCAGTAAGCCAGCACGTCAGGTTCGATCCCAGTATCTCGTGGGTGAGAGTTGTCTGCTGTAACCTACCGGGCTAGCTCCTATCACAACAGTGGTAGGAGCAGCCCTTCTATATGAAGAGCTTGTCGAGCCAGCTAGCCCCGTGCCGCGGCCTTGCAGGCTCTGCCTGCCCGTAGACTTACAGGCCCGGTTCGCCTGCGGCCCTGCAAGCCTCGCCTGCTTGTGGCCTTGCATGCGCAGGTGGCCGGGCGACCTCGGTATTGGCCTAGCAGCCCCCTGGCTCGGTGTCAACCCTGCGGCCCAGAAGAAAAACTTCCTACTCCTCCCGTGCCACGGTCCCATACCCGGCACACTTCTCTTTTTTTGCCTACCTAGGCCTTAGCAACCGCGCGACATCTTTTAGGTAGGATAAGTCTGGCCTTAGTCTTTCTACGACCGCTCATCTTTGCGGCCTTGTCGGGGCCTGCGGACGACAGGTCATACTGCCGATTCCCGCCGTTCCGAGCGAATATCGATGGCGTCACATGTCAATGACGTTGCATGTCAACGACGTCGTATGGATTCCTTCTGTTCTCAGTTATAGGGTTGGTCTGGATAACTTTGGCAATGTCAATCTCATCAAGTCTTTCAATTCAAAAAAAAAGGTCAGGCAGTGTCTGACCTTGAAAAGCTCGGGCAAAAACCTTCACAAGGATTTTTGTCACGACAGCCTTCCCCGCCCCCATTAAGCGACGTCCCTGTCGCTTACCATACGGCAATACAATAGGAAGTTTTATACGACCTCACCAAATATATTACATAACCATAACACCTCTGGAATTAACCCAGATTTTACATACTTATACGTGATGAACGACGTTCCCGCCGTTCATTCTTCTTTCCTTGCCTAATCTTCTGGATACCCTTCTTATGAAATTCTCCGTGTAGACTTCATTACCGTCAACGAGAAGGGCTAACTTTAAAGCCTTTAATAATTCTTTCGAACATTCCTTCGAAAACACTTCCATTCAGTCACGAGTTGGAATGGGGTCAGAAATAACCTCTGATAGACCTTTCCCCGGAATCTGGAATCCACTGTTGGCTTTACCCAACCTGAGGAGTTACAAAAATATTTTAGAAGAATGATCCCAGCATCATCCCACTGGCGGCCACTCATCTCTCTTCTCGTCTCTCATAGATGGGTCAGGCTTATCCCCTTGATGGGACTCTCTTCAGGCTATAACCCCCTGTCTAGGTCTCGTCAGGCTTAACCCCCTGCGGGTCTTTCGTCATACAGCACACACTGCCAGGGATTTAACGTGGGCCTCTCATGTTCATGGGGGTGCATTCCCAACACCTCAGCATGTCTCTCACTGCCAGGAGCTTAACCTGGGCCTCCCACGAAACACAAGGATACTCACACTGTACTACATCATGTATCGTCATCATTCCAGAGAGAAATCACCCTTCCAAAAGTCCTCGTCCAGTCCGGCTTATTCTCACTCCAACTTAATTGTCATGCACGATTTATCTCCAATATGCCTTGTGAATGCGTCGAGGAGTGGTGTAATCCACAAGGGATAACATCTCGACGTCAAGCCCCGCTATAGACTCGAGCCTCACCACTTTCCCTCTGATTCCAGTGTCATACATCCATTAGTACCCTACCTGCAAGGTTGAACTACCCCTTCCTTATGACCCAAGCTGATCAGACTTGGCCATAAAGTCGAGGCGACCACATTCACCACAAAAGGAAAGGTGATCAGTCTTTCCCTCATGGCGAACGGTAATCGCCACCCTCACAAGCAAGGTTCCAACAAACATATTACCACCTTCCTCCCTTTCGACGATAGTGTAGTCATTCTTCTCGAAAGGAAGGATGACAACATCCCGCTATGGACCAGGAACAAAGTTCCGACGCAGGCCTTACCACCGTCTACGAGGCTCACAACATTAGGAATCCTCATTGCATGACAATCGATACAATACCAAGTCATAAGGTATGGCAAGCAATTGAATCACATGTCCGACGAATAACACACATGTTAAGTCAGGCATACGACCCAAGTACAGATCATCTCCTTAGACTTGTACTTACAAATCCCACATTCATAACCACACACACGGAGTTTCATAAGAATTCCAGGTCCTACAATTCTTTATGTATGTGATGAATACTTTAATAACATAAGCATCCATCAGTTATTTCACAATATTCTTCTTGCAATGGACATCCCATCATGATAAGAATCTCACAAGGTCCTTTGGTATCACTCTTTTACTTTACAAACAGTATCCAATACCTCTTATGCATAGTGACAATTGTGAGGAAAATATCATAGTCATCTTACAATTGCCTACGACAGTAAGACACAGATCCATTATTACAAAACAACGAGAGCCACAACCCCATTGATAATTTTTCAATCTCAATACTTTTATTAGTACTTTACAACTTTTTTGGTTAGCCTAAGACAAATGTCAGAACCAACTGAACCACAATACAAAAGCAAGAAGAACTACCAAAATCGATGCCACCAACCACCTCCTCTACCCTTTCTTCCTAAAAACTTTTACTAAACTCTCGGGATAAACTTTCGTAACTGTGCACCCGATACCCAATTCCTACCCCGAGATCCATCCAACTCTTCTATTTCGTATGCCCCATGTTCTGTCTTCCTAGTGATCCGATATGGTCCCAGCCACCGACCGTCTAATTTTCTGGACCACTATTTTTCTAGCGACATATCATACAACAAGACGATGTCTCCAACTTCCAACAGCTCTTTTCGTACACGTGGTCTCTTGCCCCATCTCTCCTTGTCAGCTTGCCTACTTTCGGAAGTAGAGACAGTTGCATCTTCAATCCGCTCTTCAGTCACCATGATCTGTCTTGCCCTCAACTCCAATAACTTTTCTGTCGAAAGTTTCGTTTCCACATCCTGTTTTTGCCAAGTGGTCAGGAAGCTCTCAATTGGAAAAGTCGCATGCCGTCCAAACCATAATGTGACGGGAGCATACCCGGTTGTTCGCTTGATGGTAACATTCTCAACAAAAAAGGCTGCCCTCAAATAAATCGGCCATCTTGATGGCTCCCCCTTGCACCATTTTGCCAACAAGTTAGACAAGGTGGCATGTCCTCGTTCCACGGGTGCATTGGCCTGGGGATGCGCTCTTGTCGTATAACTGAAACTCACCCCAAGTCTCTTTAAAAGTGTTTGCACCTCCTTTGCTCGAAACTCGCCTCCTCGATCCATAACAATCTCTTGAACAAATGGATAACGGAGGTAATATTCCTCCCGTCACGAACAACGAATCCTTTGCTCTTCTCCCGCACAACCGGATCAACCTCGTTTTCATCCAATTCCCCATTCAACCATATGCCTATCTTCTTATATTCCCCTTCGTATTCCTTTTCCTTAAACGCTTCTTTGACCTCACTGCCCCCTTTCTCCGCATTCATTAACCTCAGACGCTCCTCATGAACCAACAAGTTCATGATATATGACATCCTTCCAACGGTCTGGAAAGCGTCATCAGCCTGCATATGGCCCTGTTCAATCGTTAGCGGATCAAGCATAAGGTCGATGTCATTGGTCAAAGCCAACCTCATCATTTCTTCTGCGGTTTGCTCACCCCATGGATCCTCCTTAATGAAAGGTCCTTCCATCACGAGCTCTGAACGTACCTTGTGACAGGTGGGAGCATTCCATATTGATCTCCCACGTCGAGTAGCCGCATCAGTCAGGTAGGTAAGGGAGTTAATACTCAATCGCGACTCCTCTTCCTTCAGAAAGGCATCGACCGTAACTGATTATTCCGCCTGATCCGACTCTGGGTCCCATTCGACCCGACTCAGCCCATCAGCACGATTTTGACTCCCCAAAATCCGCTCAATCTTGAAGTCAAACATCCAAATATAAGTCAACCATCGTGCAATGGTGGGATCAACAAGTGAATAATTCCTTAAGGATTGAGCCAATGCAGTCGGATCCACCCGCAGTATGAAGCGTCTACCAAACACATAATTCCAAAAAATACGGAAACAGTGAAGCACGACCAAAGTCTCCTTCTTGAACTGGGAATAGTTCCTCTCTGCAACATTCAGAGTCCTGCTCTCAAATCTGAGAGGCCTTTCCTGCCCCTCGGCATCCTTCTGAACTAAGACTCCTCCTAGGGCTGTGGGCCCCGCATCAGTCTCAATAACAAAACAATGTTTTTCATCATCGTCAAAAAGGGGAACTCCAAGGATCAATCCGCCCTCACGAAACTCAGTCTTTATATCCTCCACGGCCTCTTGTTGCTTCGGACCTCATTCCCACTTCTGGCCTTTGCGCACTAGCTTTCGCAAGTGCTCCACTCTGGCGGCAAACCTGCGGATAAAGATGCGCCAAAATCCACAGGTCCCAAGAAAGCTTCGCACATCTGTGATCGACTTGAAGGGGGTCGGTCATTCCAAGATTTTATTAGTCTTCTTCGCATCCGGCCGGCGACCTTTCTCATCGCAAAGGAATCCCAAGATCACTGCTCTCTTCATACAATGTCGAGACTTAATCCCACTAACCATGAGATTAAACTCCTTCAACCTCTTAAGAATTTTCACCACATCATTGATGCGCCTCCAAACGAAGCGGCGAATGCCCGACAACACCTCCGCCAGGTCTTTCGTTCGAGACCCTGGAATAGCCAAGTCATCAATATACGGCGAAGTTATGTCAGGACAATAAGGCTGCATAACCCTCGTCATATATCTCTGAACAATGGCAACTGCATTCGTCCATCCCTGCGGCGCCACACACATATGGATCAATCCACGAGGACTGTGCATCGCCATTTTGGGCCGATCCGGAGTGTAAATGGAAAATTGATCATACCCTGAATATAAATCGATCAGGGTGATGATAGACCTTCCTGCACAAGACTCCGACAGTAGGTCCGCATGTGGGAGTCCACTTGCATCTCGCACTGTCACTGAATTCAGCTTCTGAAGGTCCTGAATCCACCGTAAGGTACCATTCGGCTTGATGAAACAGAACCATGAAGATGCATATGGCCCGTAAGAATAATCTGCAACTTTCTTCCGGATTTTTCCATCAAGATACGCAACCACTTTACGGTGATCCTCCGGATTTGGATAACGTGGCCCTCTCACATTCCATGGTTCATGTGGTACAGTATGAACTCTAATCATCAGGATTTTATCGACATCCAGTCTCCGTCGCTCATCATCATCGAACGCATAGGAGAGATGTTCCTCCCTCAATATGTCGCTTATATACCCTTTTTCCTGCTCAGTGAGGAGGTCCTCCTCCCCAATGATCATACTTTCCACTCTTTCTTTGGTTAACCGACATGGCCCCTTTTCACCTCTCTCTTTCATTTCTCTGATCCACTCGCGCTCCTCACGATAATAGACTTCCTCCTCTTGAGTGATCAGAACAGGTACCGGCTTCGCGTTCATGCCTACTTTCTTGTACTTACGTTTGGCGCCGGTGTCAAGCCTGCGTCCTCTAAAAAAGGACCCTGTCGAGTGGAGGGCAATACCTGATCTTCTCCCTTATTCCCCTCAGACGGGGAATAAACAAGGCGCATAGTTCCTGCACTTCCGGTGTCCGTGATGATCTCCGTCAAGGCTTGCACCACATTTGGATCAATCGCCGCATGTGTCGACACAAAATCTTTTGCCTGTCCAATATCAGGCAAGGTCAACGAGAACTCACGAGCTTTCGGCTCCTCCCCTAATGATTCCTTCTCCCGTCTCAACTTTTCTGACTCCGGGAAGCTATAGGATTCCGAGTTCAGCCGGTTCCGCGAGCAATAGGGTCCAGTGTTCGCACACTTGACCACTTCGTAATAACCGCAGACAGGATCACAAAGGATTACAAACATGGTTCCATCATGCTTGTTAATGATGATGCTTTCCGATCGACATAGGAATGCCCTTCCCAGAAGCACCTCGTGTTCCACTTTAGGTAACACATAGAAATAAGAGCAGACTTTGACCTTTCCGAGCGTGACGAGGACGCCACTGGCTGTCCCGCAGAATGGGGTCGATCCGCTAGCCCCCACCAAAACCCCATAGTCATCTCAGTTGATCTTCAACCCAGCGTCGATGTCATAGCGGTCACGAATGATGTTCATCTCGGCTCCATCATCCACAAGTGCCGAATACTCGTGCTGTCCAATCTGGACCTTCATATGGTCGGTCGACACACTTCGCCAATCCATCTTTGTCCCAGGCGGGGACCAGTTAGCCTCCGGCGGAATGACTTCACCGAGATTAACAGTCATGACTCTCTTGCGAGTCTTCCGCTGTTTAAACTTTTCCTGAATCTTCGGCGATACCGCCAAAATTTCCTTCAGCGTGACCAAGTCGCGCTGACTTTCTAGAATCTTATCGACAAGCTGCTCGATATCGACCCCCTGCTCCACGGGGATCGAGTAAATGTTCTTCTTCTTTCGTGGTTCCTCCTCGCCTGGTTCGGTCTTCCCTTTCTCCGGCTCCCTTTCCAGCGCACGACGACGAGCCTGTTCTTCCTCTTCGGCCCGCAACTTCTCATCCTCGTTATCCTCATCGCTCTCACTAACGGGGATGGGCTCTTCTTCCACCGCCTTTTCAGGCTCTCTTTCCTCCTGAAGCTGCTCATTTCGTCGCCGCATCCGAGTCTGCATGACTAAAGTCGGAGCACTTCTTTTTAGCACAGGCCTAGGTCGCATCGTGCTTACCATTGGCCCAGTTTGCGATGTTTCTCTCGGAGCAGACGTCCCTGCTTGACCAGACGCATCTTCCCTTTTATCACCCCATTCGCCAAAGAGAAAGACATTCGACAATCCAGGTCAGACCTCCTCCATGTCCACGCAAAGTCGGATGATAGAGTCCCGGCATCGGGCAAGCCGCTTCGTGATGGTTTGCGCTCGTTCCACCACTTGTTCCCTAAACCCTCCTGGTTCCGTTGACGAGTCGTCAATATGTAACGATGCCATTGCCTCCTCAACCCCGGCCAACCGCGCTTCTTCGAGAGAAGCAATCCGGAACGTCGCCGGCAGCGGACGACCCATTCGGCGATACGCCTCCTTCCTCATACCCTCTTCAATGTTGGGGTCGATCAAATTCCCTTCGTAATAAAAAATTTCACCACGTATCGTGGTGAAGACAATTCCCTCCTTCTCATCTTTTGAAAGGAGTTGGCAAAACCACATAATATGGTCCTTTTCTGCGCAATAGTTATATGTGGCTTCCTGCTGCCACGCCCAACAGCTTCGCTGTCCGTTCCCACGGCCTCGACCGCGGCCTCTTCCACCCTGCGGCTGAAACTGCCCTTGATCTTGGGAACTTTGTCTTGATGAACCAGCGCCAATATTGTCATTCCCTCCTTGATTATTCTGTCCACCATTCTTTCCCTGTTTAAGGGAGGTCCCCTGTCCGCCTCGAATTTGATTCAAGACCTTCCTCTCCGCCTTTGTCAACTTACGGGGCGGCTCCTTTTCCTCCTCGCTCTCACTATCGCTTTCTTCCCCCACTGACTCTTTCCCTTTCCTCTTACTCTTTTTCTCGCTCGCCAACATGACTTGAAGCTTCAACCTTTCCTCTTTCATGCCTTCCATCATTTCTCTCATATAGGTCAAGGTTTTGTAAATCTTGTTGTCCTTCACCTCTCCCAGCTTCACCTTTTCCCGTTCCTCCTTTTGCTGCCTCAACAGCCGGTAGAGGATATCGTCGAATTTCCCCACCAGCGCATTTTGCCGGACCTTACTCCAGTCATACCTCCCTTGCATCCCTTCAACCAATTTCCACTGTTCGACGTCGTTGGAGTTATCAAGGAAGATGAGGCAACGATCTTTGTCGGACAGGTCGGGGATTAGGTGAGCCACACGCTCAAACTCCGACAAGAATTGCTTGGTTGTACCAAACTTTTTATGATCCACCGCCCTCAAATCCTGCAGGTCGAGCAACCGATCGCTGAGCTGGTACTTCTCCAACAACCGCGCCTTAAAATCTGACCAATTACGAGAGATCCACACCAGCTCATCGATCTCGTCTCGGTACCCCACTTGACAGTACCTTTTAACCATGCGAAGCATCTTCTCATCTGTCCATTCGTTGCTATACCCCAATTGCTCAAACTTGGGGTAGGGTTCTCGCCGCGACTGCCGAATGACCCGTGCCAATTCTTGAATGTCGTTTCTTCCATCGTCAACGTTATCGCGCCCTCCTGCGGCCCCGTCCATCTTGAGACCAATACATAAACCCAAGAAATCAATCAAGGAGTTTTTGTGACATCTATTAAGGATCCTTCCTCACACTTGTAGAAGTTTAGAGATTACTAACTTTTTTTTCTTCTTAGATAACCACTATAACATAATTTTTTACTTGCTTCATTCCCGAGTGTCGTTCCACCAGGGATAACGGTAGTCTGCCGTTATCCCCGGCAACGGCGCCACCTGTTGAGCGCACCGGCCCCCTCGCGAGCGAGGGCCCTCCCGGCCGCGTCACGCAGGAGAAACTTAGTCTTTCTATTTAGAGATAACTCGGGGACGATACGGTAACCCGCGTCGGCCCTTTGCCGCTCCGGCCGAGTGCGCCAGCTGTACATCCCGCGGTCCCCTACGACAGGATAGGTTCTCGCGGGGCATAACTTACCTCCCCTAAGGGGCTGTCACCACCCTTAGGGGCGTATCCCCGCCGCGCTACCGACCCACATGCGAAAGCTTTCATAATGCAATTGCAGAGGTAGGCCGACCGAGGGCGTTTGCTCGTTCGCTGTAGCATAGCTACGCATGGTTAAACGCCAAAGTGGACCCGAACGCTGTCTGTCCCGGGGGCGATGATCTCCCAAGGATCGGACCAACGTCGGTCGATTAGGACGTAATTTTCCAAGCGTAAGAAAACCTCAATTAATCCTAGTCCCTTCTTCCAAAGACAATCAAAAGTTAAACATAAAAAAAAGACTCAGGTCGACGTAAGCTGACATATATACTGAGATCAACTTATATATAATACAACCATGCATACCACTCGTCCCAATCAATTTAACAAGGGTTGATTTGACTTTCAACCAACGACGAGGCACATGAGTTGACTCGGCTCCGGACATCACTTATCAACAAAAGGACAAAGCATGACTTATACACGATGCGAAGCTCAAATGACGTCCGACTAAAGTATCTGCACTCTACTTGCCTGACGGTTGGACTGTCACGACTTTTTTAGCTTGATGAGATGCGTTGCCTAGTTTTTTTTCTTTCCGCCCCATACTGACCGCTAGAAAAGAATATGGGTGCCCCGACTCTCAAGCAGAGTTAGAGTGCCATTGTTTTAATGATGGCGTCACTACTTCTCTAACTTTGGTGCGAATGTCGTCTGCGAGTAATCCGGCTACCACTATACGAGTCAGCACTCGACTTGAACGACCGAACGCTGGATGCCTCATTGAGGTCAATCATCCATTTTCAAATTTTGTTGGTCGTTTTGTCCCCCTGAGCAATGTTTACTTTTTCTGTCTCGCGAGTGATGAAATACCAGTCTGTGATATAAAGATATTCAAGGCAATGCTTTAGTTACATTTTATTTGTCAACTAGTCTGACCGTCCCAGGCTTGCACTTCTCATGGTGCAACCCTATCCGCGAAGGCAGTGCCTACTCGCACTCCGTCTATAGCTAGTGATCACACGAACTGGACTTCTTATGGCGCCAGCTCCTCACTCATCTGTGGCTCCTAAGACGGCCACTAGAAGGGTAAACTATAGCGGTTCTTCTTAACGTGAGCCGCCAAGGACTTAATGCCTTCCGTGAATAACACACTTCCATCCCCTAGGAGGTGGTCAGGGATACCCCTCGTCCTCGCCCGAGTGAACCTCGGATCTCAGAAGTCGGGCTGGCTCCACCACGACAGCATGGTACCCCCCCGCCTAAGCGGTCCACTCCGAGTCGTTAACAGGGTCGGCCCCTAAGGCAACGGACCCCCGCCTCAGATGCCTCATAGGGAAAGGAAATGCACTTACAACGACAGACGGTCAGCCCTTTATCGCCTGACGTCAAGAGCGAGCCTAGACGAAGGAGGAGGTCACAGAGAAAAAGGCATTCAGACAGACGGGCATAAACAGAGAGGGACATTCGGGAAAGAATGGGTAACCTCGAAAAAAATCTATGTCCAATTCACTTCTTCTCTTTTGTGTGATCGCTCCGTTCCTCGTCGTCTGCTGTCTCGCCATCCTTTCAACATGCATGCAAGCAAAAAAAATAGAAGACAACCACCCTTCCATTCACTTTCGTTGACATGATTACACCTTCATTTTTCAGGCACTCCTCTACCTACCTGCACATGAGATCAAACAACAAGTTCAAAAGAAAACAATGCAGTCCCTAACTCATGTCAGACTTTCATTCACACGTGCAAACACACATTCCCTCTACCTCTTCAGTGAACATTCAAAGAAACAGAGTCAAGCAAGTGTGGGTTCACACAAGTGTGAAGGGAACTGAGTCAGGTTAACTGACCTTGAGTAAAGCTGAACCAAAGATAGCAAACGGCCCACTCAGGAAGC